CTCCTGGGGCTGGGCTCTCAGAGGGTCACGAGTTGTGAGTCAGTGAGATTTGGTAGGTTTGTAGTTTTAGTATCTCCTTGAAATAGTATATGAATGCATTATAGTATAGTTATAATAAAGAAATCATTCAGCCTTCTGAACTGGAGTCAGACATCACCATTTCTTCCCACCGGGTTCACCTGCATTTACAATAGCTTTGGGACAGCAACTTCCCTCCAGAGGGGAGTGAAGAATCATCTGGGCTGGATGAAGAAGGGAAAGAGATGAAGTAAAGTAAGCAAGTGTGCTTTGAAATGTGGCAGCTGAGAGAAAAAAAAAGACTTTGTAAAACAAACAAAGTATGTGGATTAACTCAAATGTGCAAACGTGTCCAGGGCTCAAGGACCAGAGGCAGTGAGGGCTCTGGGTGAGGTACAGGGAGCAGACAAGCACACGAACTCACCAGTAACAATGCTGCCACAGTGGTGGGGGAGAGGAAAAAAGAAAAACAATCTGTGTGGGGACCACTGCCCTTCAGCAAGACACAGACTCCTGCATCCACTGGGAAAACAAGGCTTTTTCCTTGACTGTTGTCTCCTTGCCCTCTGCCAGCGTGACTGTGAGTGAGGCAGACGCATGGATCAATGCCACATGCATGGACTTACCTTTGTGGCTCCCGAGTCCAGAAGCAAGAAAAAGCTGAGTGAGGAGTAATTTGGAGATTGCCATTGAGCATTCCCACATGCAGTGCCCATGATGGAGCAGGACAGGTCTCATGGAAGGTGGTAACACTCTGGGCAGTGCCCAAATTGGCAGTCTTTAGTCTTGGTGTCCAACCAGACACAGAATGTGGGAGATGCAAAAGCACCTTCACCCACACCTTTCCTCGAGCAAGGGCCGGAATGGAGTCAGACACATCCCTCACCGGCACCGATGTCCAGCCAGGAGATCACGCCAACCTGATGGCAGGCTGTGGAGCTGTCACAGCACAGAGGGACCACCCCTGCAGGACCAGCAGGGTAACATGGCAAATTACCTTCACATCTTTCCCTGTGGCAGAAATTCAGTGCAGCACTGCAGCACCCACCTCTGAGGAAGGTGAAATTCTGCAAGGGGACGTGGACTGTCCTAAAAAATCTGCAGACCCGTATTAAGTCCACATCAAACATTTCACATGAACACAATAAAGTCCAAGAGGGCAACCAGCCTTTTTTGACATAAAAAAACCCCACACAACACTTTAAAAAATACTGATTTTATTCATGTCTAGCCTATTCAACAGCGGATCACAACCACAAATATCAAGTTACAAAGCTTTCACCAGGTTCTTGCCTGTGCAATGCTGGATTTGAGTCAAGCACATATTACAGCACCACCACTAATGACAATGATTGCTGTTCAAAGCTCACTTGAGTCCCATCTCCCTGGTGCACTTCCAAGCCCAATATCCTTTTTTCCCCCACTGTGTGTGGGATTGTCTGCAGAGAATTTGTGTTCTTGAAGCCTGAATGCAGCAAACATCCTGAAGCACATACCCCAGCTAAAAATTCCCTACACCTCATTTGTTCTTTATTTGAAAGGCTTCAAGTTTCCAGAGAAACAAACAAACAGAAAGGCTCCCACCATCAACAATTTCTCAGAACTATTGGACCTGAGCTGTATAAATCAGGTCCAGTAAGGGAGCTGGAATTACTCATCTCACCACATGACCTGGCCTGCCAATTCCGGCTGTTTTCCTTGGAATGACGCATCATCAGAGCAAGGTTTCACACCAAAAGCAAAGCACCTCTGTCTGTATCATGCCTGCTGATGGTGCCAGCACACAGTATGGCCCAAGGTGTCTGCCCCACGGATTTCCCCGGGGTATTCACACTTTTCCAAAGGTAGCCAGCACCTACGCTGACTCTGAAAACAATTGCCCTTGCAAGAAGGGTCCATGGCAGCTCGGGGCACTCGTGGTCAGCCACAGGGCCTTGACACACAGAACAGGATAAAGGGACTTGGAGGATTCCCACAGCTGGCCTGCACTGACAGATAGAGCAAGTCCCTTGGGATTGTGGAGTGAATTCTGCCTCCCAAGGACTGCAGGC